TTTTGTTGGGGGAAAAACCTGACCAATTTTCTTCATAATAGCATAAGACAATGAAGCAAGTGGGTTGTGGGAATGGATGAGTAAATACTGGCCACTGTCCTGTGTCCACAGCCCCCACTAGAGTGGTTTGGACTACATACTTGGCTCCCTGCTGGATAAGTCCAAGCATTTGAAAGGAGGCATCAAGATTTCACTCTACAATGGAAGATATGTGACAAGTTTCACTTTCAAGTGGAAAGTTTCCAGGAGGAAGACGGAAGAATTATTTTGCCATTACACTAGTGAAGCGGTCCATTTCCAGAAGACTTCCCATAACTTGTATAAATTGAGCCCTCAAGGTATAATGCTCAGGTCAATCCCTCTTTTCTTATACTTGCATCAAGAGATTATCTGCTGAACTGACTGGGGAATTTCCAGAAGGGTAGAAATAAACTGAGATTTTGTATTGCTGAGTTTCAGTACTTTTTGAACATGGTGAGCACGTCCAAATCAGTTGCGGGATTTCTGATGTGTTTGAAGGGTTCTTTGTTGTTGTTTGCAGTGCACTTATTTACCCAAGAAAGCTCAGCTCGATTCAGCATCTGGTTCTCATTGAGGCTCTGCTTTTTTTAAACCAAAGTTTTCCAGCTGGGGTGATTGAAGCACAGAGGTCAAGCGACTTGTCTGAGGTCGTGCAGCAAGTCAGTGGCTCCACTTGGATTAGAGCCCAGAACTGTCCTGGGCTACTACTCCTTTACCCTTAAAGGGACAATTTCACCTTCTGTAAAATGACCTTATAGTTGGGGAAAAAGATGGAATAAACTGATTTCCACAAAACTGTAGCCTGTTCAGAGTCAGTTCAGCTAGAAGTTGATGAGTTGAAGACTTAACATACTGAGAAAAAAAAATACAGAACTGGAGAGATTTGTGTTTCAACATGACACATGCTCTGTCACCTCAGGCTTGCATGTTGCATGTGCTCACACAGAAACTTTTTACCACACCGGGAAGCACCCAGCATCTCAATTATGCTCCGTACTAAAGTCTACATTTATGTTCCATTCAAGTCTAGTGGCCCAGAGCAGAAACTAAATTCTCTCCTAAACACAAAGTTGTTTTGGCTGCTCCTTCTGTCTTCCTGCCCCATGGTGGGGGGTTTGGGGTTGAGCGAGGCTCCATAGCTTCTGGTTAGCGCAAACTGATGAGGGGCGCTGTGGTATACAAAAAGGAAAGAGAACTACCTGGGCTCTTGGACATACCAACTTTGCAAAGTGACCAACCCTAGCAGGCTCTGTTACTCAAAAATTCAGGACTCTTGCAGGAAAGAGTTCTTATAGTAATTAGTTAATATTTGAAAAAACATTTTAAAAGATAAGTCCACTGAGCATTACGTAATGGTGCATTAGTGTATTGACACTGCACTAAGAATAAAGATGCAAAGTTTATTATAATTATATTTTATTGTAACATACCACTGTTAAATAAAACCATAAAAGGGCTGAATGACAGGCCCTCTAGTATTGGAAGTCATTTTAGTGTGGCAATATGCACTGATTTTGTGGACTCATACACCAAACACTTAATAAATTCTCTCAAATCTTACAGAGCAGTTTGAGCAATAGCTCCTCGGAACTAGTCCTACTTTCTGCCAGTCCTTAGGGAGGCTACAATGGCGTGGCTGTTACTTGAAGGCATACTGAATTGCTTCCTGATACCATCCAGGAATTAGTGGGTTGTGACCAAATTCTCAGAGTAGCTGGAATGGAGCATCCACTGCTGGGACTTGTACGGAAAATGTCTGTCTCGGTGTGGTACAAGTCACAGTGTAGGTTTCTAGATTTTAGAGACTGCCCCTTCCACTGCTCAAGAACAAACCATAGCCCACTGTAAAACAGTTTGTGCATCTCCAGAGATGGACTGATTCTGGAATAGCTTGCAGCAGTGAGCTCCTGCACAGGACCCTCTTTTTTTGTGTGTGTGATTTGTGCCGACAGCCATGGGAAATCCTCCATGCGGGGCAAGAAGTGAATGTGCTGGTATACATATGACAATAAAAGTCTCACTGGTCCAAGGCACAGCTGTATGATAACATGAGGTCTCCATATGTCCCTCACAAAGAAAATCCTTTGACAGTCCTAAAAGCTGATAACTTTCTTAGGGCCAAGCTGTGGAAAACCACTGCTAAACTATTTCATGCTTGTATTTGGTCTACTCTTTTAAATGTTTGTAAACCTGTTCAACTCTTTGCCTTCCCAATTCAAACAAAGACACAAGAGCTCTGCCTCTGCTGGTTGCCTGAGCTGGTAGTGCAGGCAGATGCTTTTGTTTACTAACTCTCCCACATGCTTGGCTGACACGCAATTCAATTCTCCTGGGTTGTCAGTCCCCACACGCCTGCCTTGCACTGCAGTCATTCATGTGGTGTTCAGCGCCACTGCAGACCAAGAGCGTGCTTCTTGCCTGGGGGAAGAGGAGCAGGGAGGGGACAGGCCAAGGTTTCTTTGTTGGGCTCTTTTCGAGGGGGGTGGAGATAGCATTCTTGGATGCATTTCCCAGACACAGACATCGGATAGCTACACTCCCCAGATGGAAAGGGTCAAGTTACAACCAGTTCCACTGCTTCCCTTTAGGATTCTGGGAAACAAAGATTGTAGCTAGCTTTTCAAAGCAATGGGAAAGCTAACATTGAGTGTGGCTTCAGGGGCAGATTGTGAAAAGGTGCCATT